TTTTATCCCATTCGACAGCATTCCGTGTGACTTGACATGAAACGTCAGTCACTATAAAACGTGGTATAATAAAAAAGAATCAGACTTGGAATAACAAAACGCTAAATGAAGGTTGGTTGAAATTGATGAACAATGTAATTTCGCTACGATAATGTAGGAAATTCAAAGGTGAGGAAGTCATTCCAAGATACCGATGATCCAACCGATATGTCGTTTGAAATTGAAAGACTTCAATTTCCGATACGTCTTGCATTTGCCATAACCATCAAACAAATCACAAGGCAATCCTTAAAAGTTTGTGGTTTAATCTAAGAACATTCATTTTTTCGCATGGTCAATTATACGTGGCAGTTCACGGGTGCGGAAGACCATCTGCGTTGTTTGTTTTTGCGCCTGATAATAAAACAAAAAAATGTCGTGGTATCACAAGGTACTTAAATGAAGAGCAACATGTACTAAAATACAGAAATAATTATGAATGATTAATGTAGGTATTTAAGTTAGGTTTATGTATTTTTTCCAATTAAAAAAAACTGCTTATTTATTGCCATTAAGGCGGAACAAAGTTCGCCGGGTCAGCTAGTACTTTATAATTAACAGAACTCCCATGAAGCCCCTATTGCACCAGTTACTAAGCGGGTGGCTCCTATAATTCAACCATCACTTAAAAATTTAATCTCAAAAAATAATTTTTCGGTTTGTGCCAATATTGCATCCCGTAAACGATTTTAATGAATCAATATTTTAGGTGCAAGACACTGTTACCACAAATTATGTCATGATGATAAGGAAAGAAAGAGCAGGGGACTCTCATCTATCGTACATGACTTCAAAGCACTGGACATTAGTTCACACTGAAGATACGCAAAACATAATTCAAGTATTCTAGATATTTTGTTAATTTCCATAAGATTTGGTTCGTGTTCAGCGTTCATTGTTACGCTCTTGAACACCGTAGATATAACAAAAAGCAGAAATGAATTTTAGAGGATTTAATAGATTAAATGAATAGTACATATAATAGTAGATATGAATAATATAACATGAATAGTACATATTGGTGCCGTTAAAATACCCTAGTGCATGGCAAGCGATTTACCTCACTCGACAGTTTCACGAATAAGGAAAGAAACTTCGCTTCGCTCAGCCCCGTCGTCGGCAGATGCCGCGCCGGTTTGTCTCCGCAGCAGGTTTGAATTTCGCGCCGGGGAGTAACTTTTAAACTCAATTTTATCGAAGACTTTTATTCATAAAAACTGGACTTGCCATTCGTCATGAACGTCAACATAGAATCTGGCGTACTTTTTTGTAGCGGGAGCTTTTGGACATCTTGTATGCTACTCCGTATATACGTAGTATGTATGCGAGAAATTGTGGACATCTGAAACTACGTTATTGAAAATTGGATTTTTTAAGTTTTCGTCTTGCAATTTTTTATTGTTTTGTTACGTCAACTCGTAACATTAAAGCTACCTTCTGGCCTCGAACGCGTAGTAAAGTAATTTAATCTAGTCGGTCGTCAGTCATTGCATTTTATCCCTTCGGCCAGGAACTCGGCGGCGTTAGATGCCCCGAATTCCGAGACGGGCACCGATCCAAGACTCGCGACGTTTCTTTACTGACTGGTAAAGAGAAAGGATTGAATTTTTTCGATATAAAATCGCGTATTCTGTGAGCCTGGTGTCGAAAGATTGGATAAATGTTCTTCCTATGTGTAGTAAATTACTTTCTCTAACACATCGTGTCAAAATCGATGTGTTGTAGACCCTTGATACCGAAAAATCGGTTGACCGCAATATATGTATCTGCCTGTCCGTTTACCTGTCTGTCTGTCTGTCTGTAGTCAACGCTAAAGTATTCAGACGATTTTCTCCAAAACTGGTATTCCCTAATCGGTCTGGACGACCTTTAAGTCCTACGAGTTAGATTCAGATATTTTGATTTTTTGGAGGAGGTTAGATTTCAAGAAAAGTCTACGTTTTACACTTTCTGAAAAATGGCTCCAAGTTTTTTAAACTTTTTCTTCAGATAGATTGATCTCTAAATTTTCAAAAATTGTAAAGGTTGATTTTTTTTCTCAGCCTTCCTACATCCACAATCTGTGACGTGACATGACGATCTTGCACACTTTTTAGATAATATAAGTAGTTTTTGCGTAATTTTCGTGAAGTACTGGCAATTTTTAACAATTATTTTCTCAAAAAAGCTGCAAATTTCTTTTTTAATTTTTCTCCGTATTTTCGTATATTAAAAACAAAAAATTAACGTAGTAAATCTGAAATATTGATGGCGGAGAGTCTTCCTTAATGAATTCTGTTCTATAAAACTAATAAAGAATACAAAAATCTCTTAATTTTTGAAAATTGAAAATGATCAACGTTTTTAAGAGACAGGAAGATTCACTTTAATCTGCATTTTATGGTGTAGAGGTTAATTGCATGTAAAATCTCACACCCGAGTTCGAATCTCGTTGTGGAGAAAAAAAATGCTTGTTACAAAGACTTTTTCAGCTTGTTCTTGGAACATTATCATATTGCGTAGCTGTTGGAAAAATGGTATTTATTATTCGATTTTCAATAGCCAGAACGTTTGGAGAGCAGAGATCGCTGTATCGGATGCCGCTTTCACTGTTTCGACTTGAAATGCCGCGTTGTCAAACCCCTACTCGAGCAAGGATTTTGTTTCAGTGTCGCGCCTTGGTGAGCCTTTCCAGTACCTACCTAAAAGTGTGGGTTTTCAGTGAGGACGCGTCTAACACCACGTGCGGTTGGGAGGGGGAGTACTGGGGCAGAAGGGACCGTCCGGGCCATTCCCTATTCTCATATACGCCTACAGGCGTATATGAGACACATATATTGACACGGATCAATGAGAAGAGGGTGACTATGACCCTAACAACCGCTCTGTGCACAATCGTTCATTTACAATATATTACAATTATGAACAGCTCTGTGGTTATTTTGCTATTCTACCTCCCGTTAGTCCTACAGTACTCCCCGTATGAGGAGCTAGCGCAGACATATGTTATTTTCCCATTGTATTAGCGTCAACAGTGTTACAAAATATACACTATTTGGGATTTCACTATGTTTGGGCTGTATAATCTAGCAAACTCGTGGCAGTTATCTTCGAACTGCAGCTCTCAGCTGTTTCAGGCGCAAATTAAAATGTTAAAAATATCTCGTATTAGGTACTTCGACCTAATGGAGATTTTCTAAATATTGAAACACTGTGGCCACACGACAGACAAGCGGTACGCGGCTACCGCCCCCCGTTTTGTCATCACGGACCTTGAAACGTGAATATCACTGGGTTTCGTCGGCCCGGCAGGGCGCGTTGGCCGAAAGGCGATAGGGCGTGGCCCGGAAATTATTCACATTCCTCACGGCGGCGGATCCAGGGGGAGGCAAGGGGGCCTCCCCCTCCCCCCCGTCCTCCAAAGGCTTATAGTTTTGTGTACGTAAGCTTCCGCGGCTCGAATCCATGAATTCTCGGCTATCCGGGAGACGCATCCCTGCCCTGAGGAAGCCTGCGAAATGTCAGGCGAAACGTCGGCACCCCAGTCAACGACGCGGCGTCTCCCGGATAGCCGAAAATTCACGGCTTATAGTTTTGTTTGGTGCCTTACATTATTTGTAAAAAATTTATTTAAATATTTATGTTAGAATTATATTAGTAGTAGAATCGCGACTTATTTTACACCCTATAGTGTCTCTCGCATCTCAGCCTTCACATCTCATGCCCTCCTTCTCCTCATGTCAGTCTAGGTCTTCCTCTTCTTTGATGGGTAGCTGGTTGCCATTTCCACAATATTTTCGGACATTTTTCGTTCATTCTTTGCATGTGCCCATATAATTTTGGCTTCTTTACTTCTATGGTGTCCATTTCACTAATTTCCGCTCTACGGATAATTTCTTCGTTTTTAACTTTATCCATTAAAGTCAGTACGCAACTTCGAAGGCAGAAGTCTATTTCCATTGCTGTCAATTTTTTCGCTCTTTTTGGTACTTCCCATACCTCAGATCCATGAAGGGCAATATGCTCTACAACAGGCTTGTACAATTTTCTATTTACACTCTTACTTAATTTGTCTTTTCATATAAGTGGATGTAACTGTCTTATAGCTACTCTACTTTTTGCAATTCGGTTTCGAATATCTTGCGTACTGCCTCCATTTGCTTTGATTTCTTTTTCGAGGTATGTCAATTTTTGACAGAAATTTACTTACGAACCATCATCCTGTTCCAGATCTTTAGCACTTCCTCCTAACCTGGTAACTTCTACAACTGTTAGAATTATATAATTGGTTTATATATTATTATATATTTAACAAAAATCTATATAATAACAAATATGTTTATTATTTAACAAAAATCGTATGCCTTGCCCCCAAATAATTGTCTAAATCTGACCCTGATCACCCGTGTGTATTGGCAAAAAGTGATAATGTGCTGATGACCGGGAAAGGTGGTTCAGGGAATCAACTGGTCACTGTAGTGCCTCTCACAGGGTGGGCCTGAGGTTCTACTTCCGACGGTGGCAGGAATTTAGACACTACCGACACAGCTTGGTTGAATTCAGCCGGGTTTAGGTGGACTATCCTAGCGGCCGGCTGCTCTGATCGATAGTTTTCCGTGGTTTCTTCGATCAACACCAGGCGAATGCCGAAGCAGTACCGTAGCAAATGGGCCACGGACCGCGCGCGATCTTTCCTTCCTCACCCCTTTCTTACGCACACTTACACTAACATGCCCTTCTCTACGAGACATGCCGGGAGGCCTGCCGGGAGCTTCGAGTCTCGACTGGGGCGGGGCCCCACTGGTGATAGACACGTTGTTGGGGAAAACCCCGCTGGCCGAGAGGTAGGTCGGCGCCGGATCTCATCATTCAGAGAGGAGTGATTACCGCTCTCTCCCACGAGGGAGGGAGAAATGACAGCGCTTGACGTGCTCGGAATCACCAATTCGTGTTGTGTTGTAACTAATGTGCATTACCCGTAGGGGCTGCGCGTGTGCGTGACGCTGGGCGCGATGGGCACGTGCGCCGGCGCCAGCCTCAAGGCGTTCGCCGCCGAGCCCTGGCTGTGGTCGCTGGCCTTCGCCGGCCAGGCCATCACCGCCATGTCGCAGACGTGCCTGCTGGGCGTGCCCGCGCGCCTCGCCGCCGTCTGGTTCCCCAGCACGGAGCTCGCCTCCGCCACCGCCGTCGGCGTCTTCGGCAACCAGGTGCGTGGCCCCTTTGTTTTGCCGCACTGGCAACTCAACATGTATGTAACAGAAATGATCCGGCACGTGCGTACAGTTATGTGACATTTTTTATAGATCTGTCTATTGAAGAAATGCATGCACCTCACAGTAAAATTGCGTTAAATATGCTCTATGAACACAACTAAAAGACGCTGACTGTAAAGCTTGCACACACAATTCCAAGAAGAAAAGAAGACCTCCCAACAGTTGTTACACGTTGTAATACATTGTGAAGATGTGTTAAACGATAACTGATTTGTAAGAGGAAAATGAAGTTACACAATTTATGAACGGTGGGAAAACTAGTGTTTCACAAAGCATCTTATTCTCAATAAATAATTTAACCGTGGATTCATAAGGCTAATTTCAACGAATAATAACTAGAAGGCGGCATCACTGATGACCCCAGCCTCTTTATTTTTCTCTTTTTTTAAGGTTTACTATTCAACAATAAACGATGAAATCTTTGTTTTAGTGACAAAGTTTATTTATTTATCATTTTTCATACAATTATCAGTAAAATATATAAACTATTCTAGTTCTACATAAACTATTAAACCGATCAATTTGCAAATTTGCAATCCAAGTTTTTATAAAGATAAACCTATGAGATCTACTTGCTGTTGTTAGCATACAAATAGTTTCAGTAGGAAAGCTGTTGTAAGTTTTATTCAAAATTTCAGATATAAGAATTTGATTAAAAAATTATGAATGTCTTACTTTCAAACTGCTAAGAAACTTCAGCATAAGCTGCAAAGATCAAAAAATAAACTCATCTTTCAAGTAATTTTTACAAATAGGTAACTTATGTTGGATTGTTTGTCATTCTAACGGAACAAACACGAAGCAAAAGCATGCTAACAAGTTAGAAAAATTTGTGACGTTAATAAACACGTGGGTTCAAATATAACCCCAATTACATTTTATTGTACATTAGTATTGAGTTTTCGTTTATCTTCCTTTATTTGATAAAATTTATTTAAATATTAATTTTTTTGATTTATGTAGGTATTTAAACAATAATATTGTGTAATATATCTCTAATACATACACAGGGTGCGCCAGAGAAACTTACTTATTTGAAAAAATTCCCGCGCGGTGAGTTGGGCGGTTAGAGGGGCGAGAGGGGGCGTATCTGGAGGGGAAAGTTCCCAAGTTTTTTTCTCCTTCGCAGTACAGTTGCATCATGCTGTGCGACTAGAGAGCAGCTGGCCTTCGCAGTGAGAGCTTCTGTTCTAACGGTCGCTCACTTGTTGTACGCAATCGTGCCTTCCGCGGCTCGGCTTTGAAATTTCCTCCTCACAGACTCGGTCCTGGCCGTAATTCGAGTCTGTCGTGGGTTAACTCATTTCGGGAGTGTGGAAATGTCGCTACCCCGAAAGGACTTCAACGGACCATCAGAACGGCCCGGAAAATATCGAAGAGTGAGGCAGTCAGTTGTTGGCGTTCATCCCCGACGTCTGGCTTCGCAAACCACGCAGCTGCTATGGAATTTTCTGAATAACACCACTGTTCGGACGAGTCTGCCATGAAAAGACCTTCATTTGCATCCCACAAAACTGGCTGTTGTGCAAGAATTAACTGTAGCGCGACTTTGTTGCCGTCAAAATGCATGTGAAAGCTGATTGGCAACCTCCCTGAAGACGCGGTCGTTTTTTCAGTGACGAGGCTGCACTCTTCCACATTTTCCGGCTGCGTAACAAGCAAAACGATGCGTTATGGTGCTGGTTTGTAAATCCGCTGTGAGCTTCACCAGGAAGTCACTTAATTGTGAGCGAGTTACTGTCTGTGTGCCGATGTCGGTATGGAAAATTGGTCCTTATTTTTTTGAAGAAAACGAACGCGCAGTTACCGTGAATGAGCCTGTTACCAGGACATGATCGAGGATTTTTTTCTTCCAAGACTCGAGAAATGTGAACCGTAGAACGTGTGTTTCAGCCAAGATGGAGCCCAGCACACAACAGCACGAGACACAATGTTTGTTGCGACATTTCCCCGACCGCCTCATCTCTCCTCAAAGGCGATCTCCAATGGGCCGGCACGCTCTCCAGATTTTGCACTCCATGCGATTTCTTTTTATGCGGGTTTATGTTGAAATCCGGTTTATGTCGATCGACCACGGACCATAGCACATCTCCAAGAACAACATTCGCGACGCCATGCCAACATACGAGTTGATATGCTGGCAATGAGTGGATACGAATTTCAAAAATCGACTTCATCAGTGTATGCGCAATGGGAGGTCTCCATTTATCCCGATGTCATTTCAGACTTGCATAAAAAAAATTGGGATATTGGTATTCTCAAATAAAAAAGAAATTTCTGAGAACAATAACTGAAGTACTTTTGTTTTTATTGACCTTTCAAATAAGTAAGTTTCTCTGGCGCACCCTGTATAATATGCCATATAACAAATATGTTAATAATGTAACAAAAATCTACGAAGGACCACTATAAAACTATCGGCTGGATCCGCCCCTGTCTGTCAGCGGGAACTTAAAAATTCGTTGACCAGTGTTATTGCACTAAACACACTTTGTCTGTGCCGTCACTGACAGTCCTCCCGAAACATTTCAGACAAACGAGAATTAATTGCTCTTAGAAAGGTGAATTCAGTTTATCATTGCCGAACGTCGACAGGGCTCGTATAGATCATATCTTCGCTCGCTATCTCCCTCAGATTGTTCGTTGCGGCAGCCTACCCGCCGATTACTTCGCATTCCCTTCCCGTTCCATCTCGACAAGAGAACAATGATTCAATCTATCAACCTCAAACTATAGCAGAAGCCTTTGCATTTCAACATATTTCAATGAGTATACGCATTATCGGAAAACCACAAATAGATTCACAATTGGACCACATTATGCAGAAAAAACCAAGCCAGTGAAGAAACCGAACTGAAAAAATAGACAAACATATTTGCTAACACAAAATTCACAAATAAAAATATGTATGTACTGATTACTTCATAACAGCGTGTTATAGGGCATGTATTTTATGCACTAATGGCCCCTGAATCATTTTCAAATTCTGAGATTACACAATTTTGTGGGTTGGTTCCTTTATGCAGAATCAAGCAATGTTTTTCGTTCCAACAATAGTTTATTCTTTTGTCTCAATAAGTATTATTCATATACATAGACGACTGTTCTTACCTTGCCGTCGCGTCAATTATTCAGTTTCAAAATATGGTACCCCAGAAAAAACATTACAACTTTTTCCTCATTATCATCTCCTATCAAAGCGGTATAGAAGTTTAGAGCATCTCCTGGAATTAAATCCTCGTTAGATTTTATGTTCTGAAGTGTTGAGTATGGAATTGGCTTTCCGTTGGCCCACAACGGAGACTAATTATTCTGAGACAGTTTTGAAGATGGTCGATCACTTTTTCTTTTTTGATACTGATCTCAAAAAATTATTTCCTGGTGAAAATGGAGAATTGTTTCTCATGTCTGTAACCAGGAGACGTTTGTAATAGCACACTTTTGAAAAAGGAAAACACAAATCGCACGATAAACAACTATTTATGTCCAGAATAGTTTGTAGAAAGTAAGTTAATAGAAATGTTGCAGATTTCATTTCCGTCGCACTTTTAGTTCAATGACTCGTAACGAAATGTTCACTACTAGCTGCAGCATTTTCATACATGTTCATTTCATACTATTATGTGATAAACTGATTAGATTATGAACAAGAAAGATGGAGAAGTTACGGAGGTTACATTTTGGAAATTGAAAAGTTGAAGGTGGGAAGGGAATGCATTATGCAACAAGAAATATAAGAGCAGAGATATCAATTGAGAATAGAGATAATTTATTAAGAGTCTTATAGTAGAAAGAACATTTTTAAAAAGGAGCGACAAGGTTTGGAGAAGGATCGAAAATGGGTTTCAGAAAAAGTGTTTTCTACTTGGTGGATTGTTCAAGAGGGGGCAGTACTTTTTTCAACATGTTTACATCTGGAGCATACATTCACTAGACTCTCCCAAATGTTATAAACGTATTTGAGTGTGATGATGACAAACTCAAGTTGGAAAAATATGCTTCATTGATCCAGCAGCGCCTGAAACTTGTAATCATGTATCTCTTTCTATTTGGAGCATGGCGGTATTATCCTCGCTATCACAAATGAGGAGTGGTTTGGCAGTATCGATCTGATCTTGACGCACTTTTGCATTCCAATCATAGAATACTTACTTCAGGATATGTATTGTTGCGATAAAAAGGATATCACTAGTATCAAATTTTGCCAAATTATCGATATGCCTTATCCATATCATATTTTTTCCTCATTTGATAACATTTGAGTTTATCACGTAGAAATTTCGTTATGTACATAATACAAATTGACAATGACATTGATACCGATAATTGATTACATTTCATAGTCTGTCCTTGGAATATAAATTAAAAATTCCTGTTTACAAAACACATTGTAGTATGCAACATTTGTTTGATTAATTTCCGTTTGTAATTCATTCATTTGACTTTCCTATTCATATTAAATAAAATTGAGATGCCACAACGTCGCACTCCATATTAAACTGTCTTGGAATGCTTAATATTGAGAGCATTAGGAAAGAACATACCTGAAAACCTCTCCCATTGGGAAAGCACATTACTAAATATTTATACATATTTATGTGTGTAAGTAAGGAGTGAGTAGGAATAGGAAGGGAAAATCGCGCGTTGTACGTGGCCCGTGGGTTCGGCATTCGCGTGGTGTTGATGGAAAAAACACGGACAACTACAGATGACAGCAGCCGGCCGCTAGAATTCTCCTCCAGACAGCAACTGAATTCCGCCTCGCTGACAAGACAGTGTCGGAAATCCTGCTACCCTCGGGACTCAATCCGAAGGCCCTCCCGGTAGGTGGCATTGCAGTGACATCAGTTGATGCCCTGAGCCACTTCACCCGGTGCTAATGACCAGGATGTCAATGCGACTATAATGAATAATTTTAAAAGAACAACTGAAAA